AATGGAAACGGGTAATAGATAGGATAAGTTAAATTGATTGCCAAACCTTATAGATGTGACTTAAAAAAATTGGCAGAGTGATAGACAATATTCTGTGTTTAAATAAAATACATTATAAAAAAAAAAAAAAACTTGACATCAAAATGTCTTCACGATAGTAGAAAATAAAATACAATACAAATTCTTTCTATACAAATACGCAACTCAGTCAATTTTTTAAGAATCCCTTTTAATGTGCCATTAGAATAACTATCGCATAATCACAATAATTATATTATAAACGCTTTAAATTATAATAAGTTCAAGAGTGTTTGATTTAAGAACAATCTGGAAACCACATAATAATAATGATAATATTAAATATACATTATTGACAACGAAATCTGAGAGGAAGGTAATAATATGATTATTCTGCGACGAGATTGTGAAATGAAGATGACATTTAAGTTGACTCTCAGCTGTAATTACTGAGAAAATCTAATTTGGCTACCAGATTTTCGTGATGGCGTCAGCAAGTTACATCATATACTATATAATAACATAATACTAACTGTGCGGTACTCAACACGGTGATAATAAATAGGTACACCGTGATATAAATTACTTTTAACGGACTCATTATGTTTTTATAGAACCATTATAAAACGTGTATTGTTTCGTTTACATTGATTATGAAAAATATACCGCAATGTATTTTAATCATCGACAAAATATATAGGACGCATAACATTATATAATATTAATTTTAAATTTTAATCTCTATACGGTAATCTGATCCAGTCTCAAAATGATTCAAAAGAACTGATCTGTACAATAAATAAAATAAAATTCATTATTCGTAAATTGTTTAAAACAGTTTAAACTGAATTAATTATTGGTTTTWTCAAGTACCTACTAATATCTTAGAATCTATATAGAATCACAGTAAAAACCCTTCATAAACTACGTATAAAAATGGTTAAGTAAAAGAAAATTAGATCTTTAAGCACTATAAGATGTATATCATGAATAAATGCTAACTAAGTATATTTAATTTATGTTAACTTATTTTGTTTCAATAATTTATTTACTTGGCGAGGAATTATTTTTTAAAAGAAACAAAGTAAATACAACTATTTTTATGATAGCTCAGCGTAGACTATCGTGGCGATTATACCAACGTCGCAGTTGTACGCAATGTGCGAACAGTTATACGCTATAATAACACAACATTCTATAATATACGCGATAGTTAAAAACGACACTACGACAAAGAATTGACAACGACGGTTGATAACGAATGAAACGCATGTTTGTAACTTAATTTCTAATAAACGTAAGATTTTGATGATTATTAAAAAATCACATTCTACACAACATTGCTGATGTTTTGGAGTTTATCTACTAGAAATTAATTTATGCATTAGAAAATAAGTTATGTTGTATAAAAGATTTACCTGTATTCTACACAGTTTAAATGTGTAACTCATACTTCGATATACTATACAMATATCGTCGTGCAGCAATATTTTTTCACTTAGTTACTTAGATCGTGTCGTGATCGTGACGCTGGATTAAGTTTTGCTTCTCCAGTAAAACCATTAACAATTGAAAACAAAAATTAGAAATTAATTAAAATATTTACATTACAATGATATTATTATTTAGGTACACTTCCAACAAATTTTGTATTCAAATGCGATATGCGTTTAAAAATACATAGCTTCACGCCTATTTTATCATAGACAATCATGGTACCTATATCTTATAGAAGAAATAAATGCATCACAATCAGTACTACCTCTCGAGGCATTCTAATCCAGTAAAAGTAACTAAAAAAATGTATTTATAAAGGTATGTATGTTTTTGAATACATAGACGACAACGTATACGAATTTTAGTCATCCTAAATGATGGATCTCGAAAGCCGATATGGGATAATCGTGGACCTCGAACGAGATTGGACAGATTAAAAAATTCCATAGAGATTTGCGTGGTAATGGTATAGGCGTATGTGTGTGTTAGTGAGAGAGAGTGAAAGTGGTGGCAGCGATGGTATTTGGATGCTAAAAGAATGTAGTGGGAGAGGTTAGTGGGGCAGAGAAAAACCGTGAAATATGGCCGTGCACGGTTTATTGGATTGACCGGAATGAGAGAGACGCGGGGTCATCCATCACCCAGAAAGGGGTCCTCCATTACCCGMGCTCTCTCTATATTTATATGTATATGTGTAGAGCACAAAGAGGGGTGAAAAATATTAAACTCGTGGAAATATAATATAAAAACACGGAGTCGTGGATGAAGGGGACGGTGAGAGATAGTGATGAAGAGATTGAGAGAGAAATTTCGATAAAAAAAGTTTGACTTTCATTAAAAATTTCAAACAGATGTATATGATATAAATATAATATTATACTCATGCATGTTTGAGTAAAATTCATATTATAATATTTATATGCATATAGGTTATGTGAAAATATTATCATGATCAGTAAAACATATTTTAGTAATGACAGAGGAAGGCGTACAACTAAAATGTTCAAATGACGAGTAATATATTTTAAGCGTTAAGAATTAAGGACTTGGCGTGGAAAGATCTCTCATTGATACTCCAGTTACTAATTTCTACTGTAGAACAAATTTCATATTTTTAGTCTTTGGCATCGATATCATTTCTTACTTAAGATTCACCTTCGCCTCTGCCGTTACACTTCGTGCCTGAAGCTTTTAAACGTCAAGTGAAATTTTCATTTTGACGTCGGAAGTCACATCAAATATTCGTCATCGTAATTCAATTGCGGTGAACAGACTAGTACAGTACATATTATATATATCAGCGATGTAGAGTATATCTATTATATACGAAGCATGTAGGTGCGATGGATAGAGAAAGTGTGTCGTTGAGAGAGGTAGAGTGGCTGTGAGATGGAAAAGGAGACAGAGTGAGTCACATAGTATTAGCATCGAAGGGGATCACATTCGTCGCATAATGGTGTTTTTCGTCCCGAACGACTTTTATGGTTTATTTAAATTTTTCACTTCACCCTAAACTATAGTTTTATTTTTCCTTTCTTACTTTACATAAAATAGAAAATAAACAAAGTTTGTTTTAAAAATCACTTTGATGAACGCACATTAAAACGCAAYAGTACAGGGGTCCGCTTTTGTCACAGCTAGTGTACGCAATTTTTACGACCTCCGCGRTGCAAACATCGATTATCAAAAACACGGGGTTCGAAACTCGAGAGTATAGCATTTTTTTTTTTTCAGAAGATAATATTTGATTTTTACACATGCAAAACAATATGACATAAACGTCACATCAATCTTATGCCAATCCGCAATTAAAGGAAAGCATAGATTTAGTTGTTAAGTATACATAAAGGTAAAGTAGTTTTATTTAATTAAATATTAAAATAATGTTAGAAACAAAAAAAAATATTTATGCTAAGATTTTTAGTTACACTGACATTATTGTGACACCAAAGTGCCAAACTGTGATTTTTAAATCATACATTTTCTTTGTTTTCATTGTTTAAAAACGTTTTGTTGGTTAATTAGTCATTATGACAATACAGAGACCAACAATGGTTTTAAATGTTTTAAATCCCTCTTTTTCGTTAACAACTATTAAATTTGMCAGTGCAATTTAAAACGAGACTATAATATTATTATTTATATGTGGTTTACTTAGGATAAATTTCATGTTACACTATACATATTATTACTTATTCATTATTTATTCGAATTTTATTTTTATTACCATTATTGTTGACACTTATTATTTATTATAGCGGTATATTTGTATTGGACAGTTTAAATTGAAACCATTACGACTCCATTTATCGGCATTTAATTTTCTGTAAGTTTGAGATTATTCAGAGCTAAAATTACCAATTATTGGCCATTGACATACGTGGTGATAATAACGTTTTTGCTTAATGCCATTAATGACAATTTACTATAATATGTATTATAAATGTTCTAAAGAATCTGACTTGAAAAAAAAAGTAAAAATCTTTTATCGTAGACTCATTCGCCGATAGTTCAATATAAAAAAACGTGACACTTTACTTTTGTGAACTGATGACGATTGACAAGAAAGAGACCCTCTGAAAGGAAATGAAAAATAAACTTTACGTTTCCTAATGACGCATTTCTGAGTGTGAAGCATAATGATTGGAAATGTACAAACGTTTATCGGATTTAGTTTTTTTTTTCAATCAGAATAATTTAATAATAAGGTATAAAGTATATATATTTGGACTTTTATGCATACAAAGTTATTGTAGTTTATTTTTTTGATAAGCATCATTATTTATGTCCTTGACATAATATCTTTCTTTGTTATTGATTGTTTCGATATAATATTGCATTTAATAGATTTGAAACTAATTGTAAAGCAATATGTAGTTATTAAATGTACCTATATATTTTATGAAGTATCCAAATAATGGAAAAGTCATCCTTAATTAGACTAAACATTGAATTACAGAACCATGTTTACTCAATTAAAAATGTATCATTCAATTGATATTTACAACAGTATTAACTTCAACCTATACAATTTTTTAATAACGTTTAATACAATTAGATATTTAAAATATATTTTTTTTTCTTTAGCCACAATATAATTTGATTAGTAAATAACCGTTTATTATGTGGTATAGATTACTTCCAAATAAATCAGAGGGCAGACTAATATCATGTACAAAACTTTTTTATAGGTGTACAAATTAATAAAATAAATAATTGATGTGRGTGTGTGTTTTATATTTTGTTATTGAAATTTATGAAAAATATAACATTATAATCATTTGTAACAATGAGAAAACAGAAAACAGAACACATTAATGTTATTATTGTAGAACGTAATGTACCTATTTTGCCTATTTAAATCGCCGTGTTATTAATATTTAATATTTAGACGCATTAAACAAAACTAAACATGGGGAAATAAGAATTTGATTAAAAGTTATCGTATTATGTATGATAAAATATATATATATGTAAAAACTCACCTGAATAAACGTTTATTGTTCACCTAAATGTTGAAATTTGGTATACGTTAAYAACACCATACAATATATCTGAAACAAATAAAAATGAAATGTTAAAAATTGGTAAAAGTTAATTCATTCAAACAGGTGAAATTTCATAATAAATAAATAATAATATGGAATACCAACAAAGATAGCTGGTGAAAGCAAGTATTACTATGAATTTAACAAATAAAATATGTTCGACGCCAGCGGTTTGTTAGAATTTTTGCAATTCGCGTACGGTTTTTTATGAATACCACACAGAAAAAAAGAAAAATAAATAAAAAAAAATATGACCAAAGGAAAGGACGGATAAAAACGATTATGCCTATTGTGAGACTTGAGTGTACACAATACGGTCAAGAAGTTTACCGCATTTCCAGCTCAATGGCATTTGGTCTTTTTATCCATCCACATTGTGAAGTTTTGATACGACAACAACGAGACGGATTGAAATTTGTATTTAACGATTTTCTTTTTTTGGATTAATGTTAAAAATCCTTTTAAAAATCTCACATTATTGTGGGCCTTAAGCTATTAAAAGTATAAAAAAATACATAGTAACCCTAAACTTTATATATACTTACAATGGATGTAAATTTCTTAAATTGCATACATTAATTTAATATATTAAAACACTTTGTTGGATAATTGGTTYACTGAATACTTTTAATTTCCATTATTTATTTTACCATTTATACCATAATATTTTTGATACCACAATATAGGTCTCAATCGGTTGGATTTCGAGAAAAAACATAGTAACTTAACGTTATAATACTGAGACATTAACACCTCATCAACTGAAATCTTATCCCAAAGGATTCTTACACATGATGCAATGCGTGTAAAGTTAATTTTATTTATAATGTGCGCTCAATATACTACGCATATTTCCCTGGTGGCCACTGCAAACGACTTGATACCTATAAAAAATAATGTAAAAGAAAAAAAAATGATAACCATTACCTTATCACGATAGAGACGAGAGTGTTTTAAGATGATTAAATTTTACGTATCTCGACGACAATAAATTATAATATAACGAATGGACAATATAATATAAGGGAAAATATAATTAATTTAGAAATGTTWACCAGTATAAAAATACGCACACGCAATTGGGAATTGCATTTCCAAAGACCGTCCAGTCGTGCAGTCGTATTTCATGCTCACGAGGGATTTGTGTTTTTTAACCAATCATAACGAAATAAAAGTTTCAGCGACCTAACAAGTTGAGAAAAAAAAGTATTATGATAATATTCAGAGAATTAAGTTAAAAGCGTGTTACTTTTTCAACGAAAACATCCATTTAGCTTACATTATTTATGCAGATAATTTATTCAGCTGTTCAAATAAGTTTGTAAAGTTTTAACAACTCGATGTAAAAATAAAATGAAGAAAATCACGCTACGCAGACCTTAAAAGGATTTTACTATACACACCTTTGGCTATGTGTGAAAATATCATAATCTAACAGTTTCATTTTCTTTTTTATTCATTTTTCTACCATTACTCAGCATTGTCGATTTCGCGTGATACATCATCAGCGTTGGTTTGTATTTTTAAATTTTAATCCGTGTAATACGAATTGAATAATGCTTTTACGACATTTATTGAATTATCATTATGCAAAGTGTTTCACTGATTGTATGCCGTACAATTTTGCATAATGTAATAAATAGGTACGCAGCGTGGACGATTTTATATCTGATGAGTTAAATCGGATATGTTTTGCAGTAATATATAGTTCTTTATAAATCTATTTATTATAAACACAATAGGTTATATTATAAGTTATAACACTTTTATATTGTGTTCTGCGTTACTATTATTTATTTTTCATGAAACGTGTCATATTGAATTTGCTTTACGAATAATATTATAAATAATGATTTCAGTTGTACAATAATCAGTAGAAAATCGAACCGGTAAAATCTCAACTTATTTAATTAAAAACAAATAATTTGCAATAAAAACGACTTTGTGACCAAACTTTTACTGCTTTTTATTTTTAAATTGATTTCACTCAGCAAACTAACTTTTTACTGTAGATTACACTTGAATAAATTAATATTTTGAACAGATTTCCGTGTGGGCTTAATTTTTTAGATTTTTAGCGGAGAGATATTTATTCTCAATGTTATTATTTATAAAATATTGATGACTTGAAAATATTGAAAACAATTAAAACTAAATAATGTTCTGTTTTATTAAGTCCATGAATTTACAACTCCATTTTAATTAATAAAAGCTATGACTGAATAAAAAATTGAACAATTCATACATGATTTCTCTTTATACTTTGACTTTGAAAATATACTTTTGAATAAAAGTATGTACTAGTGTGTTAACGAGCAATATGTGTTGAATAAACATTAATTATAAATTGTATGCGCAAGAGGTATAGGAAATAAAGAGTGTGCACTTAAATAATAATGATAATTTTTTAATTTAAAAATATRAAAATTGAAATAATGAAAAAAACTTTTATATTCAAACTTCGAGACATATTCGTATTATTTTAATTATTATTATTTAATGAGATAAAAACGCTAAATATATAATAGGCAGTTTTGTAAATTTTTTCAATTAGAAGCTTTTGAATATATTTAATTTTTTTTTTATACTCAAACTCACGTGAAATCTGTGTTACTAATTTCAATTTTGTGAAGTATCACATCGAAACTCATCGATAAAAGGCTTTAAATAGGTCGTGCATTATATATAAGATAGGATGAGTTGTTAGAAATCTCAGGTGGTCATCAATTTTAAACCTTAATGTTAAAAGCGGTGTAATAGTGATAAACTGTGTCATCCGCACCACGTTAACTTTCAAAAGCGTTTATCAAATTTCAGATATTTTTTACTAGACATTTTAAAACTAATACACGCGTTTTATCGCAATTGACAAAGTTTAAATCCAATATATTTAGAAGCAATTTGCTCGATGGTAGATTTGAATCATTTATTTATGTTTAAATCCGTACATAAAAAAACTTATATATATATAGTGGAAATAGTGCTGAGATTACATATTTTAAGGGTGARTTCCAAGAAAAAAAATTAGGGCTTTGATTAATCGACAGGTGAGTAACATCTGCATCCCYTAAGAGGGGTAGATAAAAATCATAAAGGGACACGGAGAATCTTCTCAGTAAGTAATTTATTCGTTTAAATGGTTCAAAAGTACATTATCGATTCATATAAAAATAATGATAATAATAATAATAAAATAAAATAAACACAGAGCTGGCCAAAAATGCATTTTTCTAAGAGAACCTAGACAGGATGTGGATCAAATGATAAAGGAGCTTCTATTCCAATGGCTTCAGTGGTGTAGCTATTAGAGCTTGACTGCAGAGGCGAGTGGTGCGACGGCAGTGGCTTAAAAATTCAGGCGAGGGTGACAAGATAAGCCAAGTCGAGAGAAYGAGATAGACAGAAAAACGTATACAGATATGAATGGAGTTGAATAATAATATTAAAAAGAGAAAAGTATATTATAATATAGCAGATGTAGTAAAAAAAAAAAAAAAAAAAAAAACTGTACAGTGAAGCCTTCCATCATTTTGTGGCCAAACCAGCGAAAACAAAATGATAACCCGAACTCGAGAGAGTTGTGCGAATAATAAAAAATATAAATATAAATAAAAAAATYTTCCCTGTGATATGCAGTTGTAAAATAATTGCAACACTACGTCATCCATGCTACTGTTTGAAAAACGTTGCAGTTTTAGTAGTTTTACCGGTTCATTAGAGCAGCCACCCGTCTACAATCAATGCTCGTTCATTATCTTGTCGAACAATGTGTGTGTGTGTGTGTGTGTGTGTGTGTGTGT